ATAGGTCAGATTAGTTTCAAAGACTCTCTGTGTTTTTTTTTTTTTTTTACATTTATGTGTTACAGTTTACTGATGATTGTATAGACATAAAATGTGACTCATCCCAGGTTTGTCTTCTTTCTTTGCCAGGTGTTGTGAAACACCCCATCAAGGAATCCCTTCCTGGAAAGTGTTAAGGAGCTCGCCACTGTTCTTTGTTAGCTAATCTGTACTGTACAATAACATTTATGGATATAAAGAAATTCTTTAAATCTATGAGCAAACTAAAGCACAAATTAGAGCCTGAAAAAAACAACTGACGTTTGACCTATTGTCCTCTACAGAGAGTGATTTACGAATGTGTCTGTTGTTCCTCAGCCAATCACTTTGCTCCTGGCTCAGTTGTGTAACACGTGGATGAAAGTCACACGGGTTGATAGCGATCTAAGTGCAGATTGGGGAGAACGATATCTTTATGTTCCCATTCCTGTTTTGCCGTTAGGCCTGCAGTGCTTCTGCAATGCTTCTTTACATTTCTTTTGGGTTTTATGCATTAGTTTTTAAACAATTTATCTAAGCAGTTTCTCAAGATAATACTGTCTTTGTATGTTCCACCAAGTCTTTATTTAAGTATCATAAACGGAGCAGCGATAAGCAAAATGAAATCCATTTTTTGTCTTTTGCTGGTATAAAGACATCAAACAGCAGCCAGATGCAAAATATAGCAGGGTGGGGCAGAGTGTGGGGTGGAGGTAAAATGTTTACCCCACATGAGGCAGTTTGGGATGTGATTCCCGAGAGTCTTTACTGCATGTCTTCTCCCCGTCTCTCTTTACCCATTTTGTGTCTGATCTGCACAAAAATAAATAAATAAATTCATTCATACCCATTTCATGAATGAATGCAATAGTAGGATTCCTCTGTTTTTCCAAGCATGAACTTTAATAGCTTTTATGTGATACATTGGTTAAAAATTTAATTGTAAGGACACAATACTTTTGTATCTTTTTACAACTTATATAAGTTTTCATTTCTTTCTTGCAAGATGCCCTGGCTTTGCCATGTTTACCATGCTTGGTAAAATGAAGGTAGACAAATATAAAGTTAAATAATTATCCATAATAAAGAGCACAGAGTAAAGCTTCAATTTTGATGTGTTTGCGACATTATTCCCATTCCCGTAGAATGTTTTTTCTGCTTAACTGATGTCAGGAAATGCACTAGGACAGCAGTTAAATGTTTTCTCTATGCATGTGTTGGTGTCATTTCTGACTCCCTTTTTAAGAACTTGTGCAACTTGTGCAACATCCTCCTTATGTTTTTCTATTACACTGTTGCATAACATACAGGTTTTGTCTTGCCTATGTATCTTCTTATCTGGTGCCGCATTTCTTGTGGCCCCGGTGTTGTTACTATAGATGTCGTCCTGCTTCTGATTAGCAGGTTGTGATTGTGTTATCACAGGGGCCCTGGAGCCAGCCAGCTGCACTGATGGAGCGACAAGAAACACTAACTAGAGTTAAACTATCCATGGAATCCACACTTGGAGCTTTTTGAAACGTGTGGCTCACAACCAACATGTCTTCATGCGCCAAAGAGAGACGAGTTTCTTGTCTTTCATGCCCTTTTTATACAACAATAATTTATAGTAGCAGCTTCTTTTAATTTAATTTAAATTGTCAACTATCACAAACGATGACACTTACATTTTTATTGTTAATACATTATTTGATTACTAGAATCAGACAACATATCAGACATACATTTCTACATTAAGTTCTAAACCTGTTAGATAAATGTGCAATAGCAACATTTACTTTAAAAAAATTTTCTCAACTTTATGTGCTGCAGCAGAATTGCACTTTTGCAAAGTTTAGAGGTCTTGAGTTGCAGAAATGAGACTAAAGACAATTTATTTGGGAAAAGCTGAATATATATAGCTTTGAGTAAACTGTACCTTAAGGAGCTGGTGGAAAAGTTATACGCAGCATGCCTGTAATTCTTCAGTTATTCTAGATTTTATATAAGTAAAATCCATCTATCATTACATTTTAAGTTACTCTGCTAACTCTAACATCCTCCTCCCGGAATCATGTATCCCATAATCAAACGGACATTGTTTCAGATCATTTGAATTTGATGGTGAGTTAATCCAGTAAAAAAGTAAACTGTGAAGGTGGTTAAGCTGTGGATTATCCTCTTGTTTTGAGTTAGAAACAAGATATGAGTATTTATTTCTGCTTTAGTGGAAGTTCAAAGTGTTTTCAATGTATTGTCTGAACATTTGAGGTATTACATGGTTAATACATTGCTTTTCTAGCTGGATTTATAGAAAAATCAAAACCATTTAATGACTGTCAGAGGCTTCATAAGAGAACACAAATCTTTAAACTGTTTTCTGATGTCAGCAATTTTACCTGAACATTAAAAGAATCATTACCATCATCTGGAAGACATGAACATTAACTTATCACTCAAAGAGCAGAGTATTAAGACATTATCAGGAAATCCAAAACATTACAGGAATGAGCAATTATCATCTATCTTGAATGCAACAATGAAAGGACATCCTGCATTTCTACTAACACGAGACTCACAAGAGACATCAGGTGTTGATCACGAGTTCCTTCATGTGAGTTGGTTCTGGAATGACAGGAACGTTTAGCATGTTTGACTTTTGAAAGAAAAAATCCTCCAACACCTGTGACCGTCAATTATAGATTCAGAAGATTGCTTAGATTGTGTTTTATGTATGAGAGAAATTACAGCAAAGAAACACTTTACATGCAGAATCACCCTGCATGTGCTACAGATTACGACCCAAAAAAGTAAGACCTTCTCAACTTCAGCATTGTTTTGAGACTTGAACGCTCCAATATAGATAATAAAAATAAGGTATTCGCCCTTAAAATACCTGGATTTTATATTTATATTATTGCACCAAATGAGGAAGCTCTCTTCTTACCAAAATATATAATGCAGATGTATAGAATTTTTTTTAATGTATTTTTTTATTTTTTTTCTTTGGAAGAAAAACATTTCACAACCTGACTTTACATCTATAGTAAAACATGAATTTGTTTTGTCTAAATTAAATGATATGCTGATTTGATGTAACTGAAGAGAATATCACCATTTTTAAATTAATTTGCAGAATTGATTATTTATAGATTGTAATTGGTGGCTGGTAGATTTTATGCACGTCTGTTCAAGATTCACAGGTTTCATTATGAGCCATTAAGGCAGAGGGAGGGTGATTTCATGCTTGAATATTGTTGATGCAGGTGTAAACCATTACTATAACTGCCATAGATGAAACATGAGCAGAAAAGTCAAGATGAGGCATGTTAAGGTTTCTTCCAAAGTTAAACAGGTGGATAGTTTCATGTAGTGACATGATCACTCCTGCATGGACTGGAGTTTAGCGTATAAATATAGAATTAACTATGCCCTTTCCTTTCATACATAGACTGAAAGGAAAGGGCAACTGGAAACCAACTCAACTCTCCCCTAAGAGGGAGCATTAGTACTAAATTAAAAGGATTTGCATGTACAGGTTAGGATATCGATGTTGGTTTAATACACAGTGAAGCAGGATGTAAGTTGACTCATTTTGAAGATTTCAAATGGTTTAAAGTTTAATTTGAGACTCAAAAGAACTGGCTAATGTTCTAGTTGTAAATACTCAAACAAAATATTAACATATTCACTACATTCAGCTAACCAACAGCCCATCAGGCTGTCGGTTAGCTGAGAAACTGACTTCTTGACAGAAAGTCAAGCAATCAGGGACATTTTGTTCCAGATAAATTCATCACATTTCTTTAAATCATGTGATCGTCATAGAGTGATCGTTTAAATTCCTCAAAATCATAACAAGTCTGTCTCAGTCTCTGTGATTTAAAAGAAAAAAGCAGGTAGAGGCGTGAGTGACATAACTTAGGTTACTTTAAACAGAAGGAAAGGAAAGAGGAGACATAATGAAAGTATATCTCAGACCAACCCTACTTTGCCAGTAGATGCTGAGCTGCTAAAATAAATGTGAGTGTCATTGGTTTGCCTTTGTGTATGCTGATCAAAGTGTCCGCCCACACCGTGCTACAAAGTGACCTGCACGGTAAATGGTCTGTGCTGTTGTGACTTCAATCTGTTTTTCCCAGTAAAGTGACAGAATTACAGAGAATTAGGGATGATTTTCCAAAGCATGCACTGATACTCACTGAAGACAAAAGGATATTTCCTTCAGGGGGTAAAGGACACATTCATACTAATTCATTAAGGAATGTGCTACAATAAAGCTAATTACAAATAAAGATGATGAACTTTGTATCTAAACAAACATAGAGCATCCCAAATTGCATACTACAACCCAGTGAGAGATTATGTAATGGCAGTCCTTAAGTTTTTAGATCATGTTTTGCAAGTTTGAACAAAAAGCATGAGAAGAAAATCTGAGATTTGGGTGTGTTGATTGTAGTGACAGTGACAGTTTGAATGGAAGCAAAATGGCCGACCTGTCCAGGGTGTACCCCACCCCATCTTCATTCTCTATAACATTCTTTCTACTTCAGTTTCTTTCCTTCTACAAACTTCCCTTTTTGCTGAAGTAGGGAGAGAAATGCTCAGGTCTCAGATATATTAAAATTTATTGCATATTATTTTCTTAAGACTTCACACTGTAGCCTGTTTCCATTGTCTATGGTTCTTATTTCCTCATGATGAAGTCAAATTTGATGAAATATGAGACATTATCACTTCTGATAAGACTAAAATAAGTCTGTCAACTTTGTGCTAATATGATATTTAAGTAATAATCACCTCTCCTTAAAGGAAGTTTGTGAATCTTGAACTGCTAGATAAAATGTGATCACTACTCCTAAACTTCTTCCATCAAAAGGATAATTAACAAACTAAAGGTGAGTTTAGATACCTTGTCAGAGGGGGCGGGACTAACTTTGTCTCCACCTAACTTGGCCTGGTAGGTGTGACCCAGCTGAACAAAATCACATGTGAAGCTCTTGTGTTTGTCTGTGAGCTTCTTCTTCCACCCTCATACACACAAGCTCCCCAAGGTTTTGGTGTCTGCTCTCTGGACGCCCCACCCCAACTTTCTGTCCTGGATCTTTGGAAAAGAACAAGCCTCTCCAAGCCTCTGCTCCGCATCTGACTTGCAAGAAACATGACAGACTCGTCTACCAACATGCGGCTGAAGCTGCCAATTATCTGCTTCATCCTGGAAATCATTCTCATCATCCTCTTTGGTGTTCTGGTGGTGTACGATGAAGACACAGACGCAAAGCTGTTTAATAAGAATATGAAAATTAATAACTCCACAGCTGGTGGGCACAACGGACATGGTTCTGGAACATCTGATGATACTGACTATAGGAATGATTTCTACTACCGCTATCCAAGTAAGTTTCCGTTAGATCAGGTGTCAAAAGGTGTGTCAGATGATGTTCCAGCAATCCACTATCAGAATTAGCGGGGACAAAAATTCATGCATATTTTGAAAAAAATGCTTAAATATTTTGAATTTTCTCAGGGTTGTTACATTTTGTGTGTTTTTATGGTGGGATTGTTTACTTTTTCCAATAAACCTCAAATACAAAATTTATGTATATATATATACATATATATTTTAGACGAGACTAAAAGCAAAATCTAAATATCCATTAAATTAAGGGGAAAAGTTTAGCTTCTTATCCCTGAAAGACCTAGACAGAGAAAACCATTCAGATGTTTTTTGCTGGAATATTTTGAATATGAAAAAAAAAAAAAAAAAAAAAAAAAAGATATATATATATATATCTTTTTTTGTTGTTGTTTTTGTCAGGTTTTATGGAAACAACGTTGGGTAAATTGGATGGCAGAATTTTCCATAGGCTATTGAGAGTAATCATTAGAATAACATGGAAGCAATATTTGCATCTCAATGCAGACGGGTGAATGTTTCATTGATTGCCTCTGATCTGCACAAATTCATCACATCAGCCAGATATGCAAGTTCTCATTCATACTTTGAAGCCCTGTGGATTTAGTTTTCCTCTGATACGTTGTTTGAAATTTCCAAAACAAATTTAGGACACTGGGTGTGTGGCAAAGTGTTATATTTCACTGCTGGAACCACTTTGTGCTGCCCAGCCAACATGTTGTGCTCTGATTATCATTCTAAAAGAAAAGCTGAGGGTCTTAAATGGGCTGGCTGGTCTTAGGCCAGGCCTTGAAATGATCAGCCATTTCATCTATTCCACAAAATGCTGATATTATCATTCAAAATTCCAACCTAAACGATAACAACTTACATGTAAAAAATTCTTACTAATTATTACAAGCAATAACATTTAATATACCAGTGCACTTTTTTAAATTATTATTTGTGGTAAAAGTATCAACAATAAAAAATCTAAAGTAAATATAAACATATGGGGTACTTTTTTGTGACAGCTATTGTATCTCATGTCTGTTTAGGGGTCCTGAAAGTGGGTCCTCGAGGGCCGGCATCCTGCATGTTTCAGTTCGCTCCCTGATTTAACGCCCCTGGATCAATTGATGGCTCCTTAGAGGCCTGAGAAGAACATTGACTTTCTGGTTGTCAGTACCACCAAGGAGAGAACCAAAACATGCAGGATGCCGGCCCTCGAGCACCGACTTTAGGGAACCCTGGGTTGACACTATACTTAGCCAGGTGTGGGACTTTCAGTCAGTAATGGAAACCAAAAACATTTGTAAGACATTTTCAGTCTATCTTTTTTTGTACTGGAACAGTGAATCTCAGGTGTTCTTGCTCAGCTAACACTTTTCAAGTTGTTGTAATTCTCGACCATGTGAGAGGAATTTACATGCAAATTTCCTTTCTAATAGCATTTCAAGACTGAACAATAGGGATCAAGCTCTACATCTGGGTGAAATATTGTTTTCCAGTTCTTGAAATATATAGTAAGACAGTCTAGAAAATGAGTTTTTTCTGTAAATTCATCTATGATTAATTTAATCTATTTGCATAGCAAACAGAAAATAGTAAAACAGACAATAATCCATTGTGATAAATTTGTTTGACTTTCCAATCATGCTGTAATGCATTCTCCAAATACAAAAGTTTGATTCTCTTTTTTATGTACTAATACTAAAGAACATATCCAATATTTCATTCCCAAAGCTTGATAATTAAAACACAAAAATTATTTATTACTGTTGAGCACATAGTGACATGTCAGAGTGTGGGAGGCATTTACCTTCAAGCATCTCTCATTCTCTAGGGCGGGGCTTCAAACCCCGCCCTAGAGAATTAAGGGAATATTTAAAAACTAAACCCTTTTCTTACATATTAACCTTTAACATATTTTCCCAGAAGCAGATTGCTATAGAATCTCCTCTAACTTCTTCTTTTCAGTCACTGTAATGTGGACGTTTGATGTCGTTGTGAATGTCACACCTTTGTTTGATCAATCCAAACTTACCAAACAGGATGTACCTCTATTTTTGTTTCATAAAGTTTGCTTTGGAGCAGCAGCATCAACAGCTACTGTGAAATTTCCATTGCATTGTGTAGCACATACTGACAGATGTATCGTATTTCATGGCAAACGTTGCTGCTTTGCTAACCCTGGTTTAGCAGAATCATTGTCTAAAGTTTGTTGGTGATCAATGGAAGAAGGCCAGTCAGAGAGTTGAGCTCAAAACAAAGTGAATAAAAGGAAGTGAAAAAAGATTATTTTTCTCATTTTTGGCTGTATTCAGGAGTGATATTGCCTTAAATCACTTTGACTCCTATTTAGCACTAAAAAGAAAAATACAGATTACATTCCTTAAAAAGAGATTTCCTTTGCATCCCCTATCTGTCATTGGTGCACATTCTGTTTAAACTCCCTTTTGTGCTAAAGTTTTATTTGAACAAGTCTGACATAAAACAGTTTTTTCTCACATTTAACATAACTGTCAAGTATTTCATCCTAAATAACAAAACAAATCAAAAAAATGCTGCTAGCTTTATGCAACATGTGTCCATCAAACAAAATCTGTATTAATTTATCTTTACGTTTTGGAGCACTGACACATTATTAGGACACACACAACACCGTTTAAAGAAACATAAATATTTTTATGAATTGCTGTGTTGCCACAGAAGGTGAAAAAAATAAGGTGGACAGTCACATCCAACCCACTTCACGGTGTTTAACCTGACACTTTTTTGTCACAGAAGTTGGAAATGAAGAACACCTTCATGGCTCAGGGATGTTTGTACAGAGACTCTATCCGGTATCCGTGTCATATGGTGGGAAGAAGGAAAAACGACGATGTACATTAAACAGAAACAGGTTCAGACTTTTCATGCTCTGCAGTGTGGAACCCCTATACTGTCTGGAAAGTAAATATTTCATGAGAACCGGTTTAACGTCCAGCTTACATCGGCCAAAGCAAGAAAAAAAAACAACAACTTACAACTAACAACAAAAACATGTCCATAATTTACTACATAATGTTGTCTAATAAATTTTCACACCCTGAGTGAATGGAAGCCATAGTCCCATAGTACTTATACTTTGAGTTACAATGGTTGTCTTCATACTTCTGTAGAGGGCTGAACTTGCAAATGAAATTGTTGATAACATGTTTATATATTAGCCATTTGATCAGTCTAAGATATGAATCTGAGATTAACTGAGCCTCACAGTCCAGGCAGCAAAGTTGGAGCAAATGAGATCATATGTGGGACCCCATAAGATCTAAAGAGGTGATTAAGAGAAGAACTGAATGAAAAACACATTTTCTCACAGTGCATTAATGAAGAGCCCAAACCTAGAGACAAATAAACTTGTGATCAACTTTGTAAGTTAAGTTTTCCAAGCTTTCAAAGTTCTTCTAATATTCACATGGTATGTGTAAAACATGAATCAACTGGCATTAGTGGAATAGACAGCTGGGCTGCATTAGGATTGAATGTGGTTTGAGGTGTGTTTGCTTAATAGTATAGAAAACGTTGAATAAGGAAAAATTAATTTGTTTTAGCAGACATTATATTGTGTGTTTGTACAAAGTTGTCTGTATCAGTTAAGACCAACCAAACATGCACATTATATGTGTTTTTGCATAAGGTATGTATAACTATATGTTCTGTAAGTTTCTTTTAGGATCTAAGATCTGGTGTAGTAAAAAACATCACACACATTCCTCTCTGCTGGAACAGTTCACCTGATAGCAAGAGAACAGTTATGAAAGATAATGTTGACGTCAGTGGTTTCACCCACACAGGAAGACAAGCTGCTTCAAGAGAAGCTTTTTAATTTTAATCAGTTGCATCCACATAGTGACTTGAAAACTTGTCAATAACACTTAACATTCAGCTACATAAGTACTTCTGATTCTTCATTTGTATTTTCTGTGTCAGTAAGTTGAGATTTCCTCTTACTGAACAGACATGATCAAAGCAAAACAGTGAGAATGGAAGTAAATCTCAATGTTTAAAATTCATATCAATTGGCGGTGTAGAGCAGCTCTGTGTTCTGACCTTCATATCAACGCTCCTTATTGCGTTGATATGAAGGTTTCCATCTGGGCCACGGGGAACTGTGTGAATCTAGGCCAAAGTACCGACAGGGAAGCCGGAAAGAGCTCTGCTTGGTCAAGCCAATTAACAGTTACCATAACGACCGCACTTACAGCACAGAGCAATGTTAATAATGGCAGCTAATGAGCAACGTTCACAAACTGTGTGAATCAGGACAGGAAACAATGTCATGTAACAAGTTGATAGGGTTCATTTTGAAAACGGGTCATCAACCATTTCTCAGAAAAGTGCATTTATTTTCTTAATGGTTTTGCATAATTTATAAGAAATCATATATTTAATGCATATATAGGCACTAAAAAGCATAAATGAATCAAAACCTGCTGTGAGTCATGTTCCTGGTTGCAAGTTACAACTAAACCTGATTTTCCAGGGAGGTTTCTGAAATTGTGCACTCTAAGAACAACTGCATTAGGGTTAGGGTTAGGTTATGGTTTTAAAGCTCCTGAAACAATCATTTTGTTTGTGGAAAGAGACTGTTAGTGCTTATTGAATGGGTTAATCTAGGAGACATCACATTGCTTGACAGCATTGATAAATGAAGAATGCATGGAGTCATAGTCACACCTTAAGCAGAGCCTACAGGACCACGTTTTCAAAAGAAACAAATTAACATCTATCATAACGTATATCCAACAAGGCAGCTGCGGCACATGACCTCCTTGACCATTTGCTGTTTTGTCCTCTGCAGGTTTCCAGGATGTGCATGTAATGATTTTCATCGGCTTTGGTTTCCTCATGACCTTCCTTCAGCGCTACGGCTTCAGCAGTGTGGGCTTCAACTTCCTCATCGCAGCCCTGGCCCTGCAGTGGGCCACTCTCATGCAGGGCTTCTTCCATGGATTACATGAGGATGGGAAAATTCACATTGGAGTGGAAAGGTGCAAAATGAATGAAAATGAATACCATCATTATTTTAAATTATTCATCTTATATTCTTTTTTTACAATATTCTTCCTTCATTCTTACATTAGAGAGCATCACCTTCTATCCAAGGGACACTAACTGTACAGGTTCCTCTAAAGTACACAATAATGAAAAATACATTTTCTTAACCCTAACATTGTCTCATTGTGAATAGTGACAACAGTGCTTTAAAGTTACATTTTTGTTTTTAAGTACACCTCTTCTTTACCAGATTCTGGTCATTTTGAGAGTTTAGCACTGAACAGTTAGTGTCACACCCCATAAATGGTGTAAAAATTTAAAATTAGTTACTTATTGGCTTTGAAAAAAAATCAAGGCTGTTTCTGACTTCATTCCTGTTTTCATACCAAGGTGTCAACCTCTTTTTTTTCTGTTTGCAGTATGATCAATGCGGACTTCTGCACTGGCTCTGTGCTGATCTCGTTCGGAGCGGTTTTGGGAAAAACCAGTCCCATCCAGCTGTTGATTATGGCAGTTTTTGAGGTCACACTGTTTGCCGTCAATGAATACATCTTGCTCAGCATTTTAGGAGTGAGTCACCACAAATCAAACTACTGAAGACTTGTTTTAATGACTTATGAACAGCTCTTATTTTTTCTGCTGACACACTCAAAGCTTTGAACAACCCTGTGAACCATTTTTTTTAGACTAGAGATGCTGGAGGCTCCATGACCATCCACACCTTTGGAGCATACTTTGGCTTGATGGTGACGCGAATCTTGTACCGCCCCAAACTGGAGCAGAGCAAACATAAGAACTCGTCAGTCTACCACTCTGACTTGTTTGCAATGATAGGTAATTCCTGTGCAAGAACAGACAAATACAAGAACTGTTTTCGTGGTAAATTACACCCAAACCCATAAGATTGCAACATGCTTAATGAGTACGAGCTGAGTGAGACACCAATGACTGAATCAGAGTTCATGCCTCTTGTGGGTTCCCCACCTTTTTTCATGAATTAAAAGAACAAGAAGTTATATTGTGTGTTGCATGCCAGGTAATGGTTCTGTGGCTTTTCGTATCTTTCTAAAGTATTTGTATGCCTTAAATCCTCTGAAGCAAAAGGGAAATTAGATGTAATTTTTTTTTCAAAATAAAACAGTGCAGTAGGCATTTGTTTTCAACCCCCTTTACTGTCAAAACGAAAAATAAAATCCATCTTATTTCACGGTGGTAACAATAAACACCCAGAAGATGTAATGGAACGGCTTACATAGTGGCTCATTGACTTTTCTGGATTGCCCAGAAGAAGCAAAGACCTTCATATTCAATGACCGTTATGCACTATGCTGTATCTGCAGTACCTAAGCTTATTTTCAGATTGTTAAAAATGTTTAAAATCTTTCATTTCACAACTATGCACTGGCTACAATATATAATGTAGAGAAGTTCAAGGGGAATTCTTTGGCAAGCCACAGAGACATTTTAAAGTCTGGTTTTCAATTTCCTTTCACTCCTGCTATATTTAAAGTCTATCTTTATCTTCAATGTGAATACAGGTACCATCTATCTGTGGATGTTCTGGCCCAGCTTCAACTCTGCTGTCACAGCACATGGAGACCCCCAGCACCGCACAGCCATGAACACTTACTACTCTCTGGCAGCCTGCACTCTGTCAACATATGCCATGTCTGCCCTCACAGCTCACGATGGAAAGCTGGACATGGTAATAATGCATGATTATCATTTCTGTTTTCAACTCTTTAACTAAAAACAAATCAGAAAATCAGATGATCGTCTTGATGAGAATGTTGTCTCTCATTCATCCATACTGTATTTTCAGAAGAGTTTTTTCAACTAAAAAAGAAATGAAGCAAATAAAATAGTGCCAGAAAAGCACTGAGACATCAGAAAACAGAAGAAAGATGTTCTATCTAAACTTGTTCTTCTTGCGCTTATCAGAGTTTAGAACATATGACTGTTACTCAATACCCGAGAGCCAATGAATGAATGACCGCCCCAAAAATGTTGATTGGGTCTCTGCCAAATAGCTGGCAGGCTGATCAGATATCCAACTGTCAGCCATTTGGCAGCTGGCTATCTGATCAAGTAACTAGATCACATACTCCGAGATGAGGTTGTGAATCATCGCAAGATAAATTTTCTACAATGTTGATTATCAAGTATGAGAGGAAATTAATCAAATATCCAGCTTGTTTCTAACCTTTCTCTGTCACTTGGTTGTTGAAAACAAATCAAGTCAATTTCTGTAAAGAACATTTCAGCAGCAAGGCAGTTCAAAGTGCATTGCATAGATAAACACCATCATCAAGCAAATATACATCAAATATTTCCATCATTTTCCAGTTATTATTACTCTAAGGCAACTCTAATCAGGTGGATTTTGAACCTTGATTTAAAAATAAGAAAATTAAATGTATTCTTAATTCATCATATCCAAGAATCTGTCTTCAGAGGAAAACAATAGTGTGAGCCGAAAGGGTCTCCAGTAACAATCAGTTTTGCAATGAATCTGGAGGAGCCTCTGACTGAAGGCTTTTAGCGACAGTTCAGCATCTAGAGACCGAGACGACATTAACATTTCCTGAATGACATAATCAGTTATTAGAAAGTTCTTCTTATGCACCTTGTTTGCTTTTTGTCTCAAACTTTAATATTTTTTCTGGTCGTATAGGTCAGTTAAAAAAGTTAGTTTTATAATCAAGAAAACAATTGTACATTTGCTACAATAGGCACCATAGCTTTCAGACAATGCGTCATCATCCAAATCTGGTAGTTCATTTTGCTTTTTGGGAAGCTTGTTTGTGTCAAAACCTGTTAAAATTACAAATCTACAGTCAAAAATCGAAAGACAAGCATTCTATTAGTTTCCCAGTACGTCTAAGATTTGTGGATTGAAAACAAAATTCTTTGTTAAAAATATGGAGAACACACACACACACACACACATGTGTATATATATATATATATACACATGTATATATATATATATATATATATATATATATATATATATATATATATATATATATATATATATATATATATATATATGGTTTTTATGGTTGGCTGATCACAAAGAGGGGGAAGGTGATCCGCACAGAAGGAGTCTCACTCCCACAAGGAACAATAGCAGACATAGAGGACAGTTACAAGTACCTAGGTATACCACAAGCAAATGGTAACCTCGATGAGGCCACAAGGAAAGGAGCCACAGCTAAATACCTCCAACGAATAAGGCAAGTCCTGAGAAGCCAGCTCAATGGCAAGAACAAAATCCGTGCGATAAACAGCTATGCCCTGCCAGTAATCAGATACCCTGCTGGAATAATCAGCTGGCCAAAGGAGGAGATAAAAGCCACAGATATTAAGACTAGAAAGCTACTAACCATGCATGGAGGGTTCCATCCCAAATCCAGCACCCTGAGACTGTACACGAGCCGCAAGGACGGAGGCAGAGGACTAGTGAGTGTGAGAACCACTGTCCAGGACGAAACAACTAAGATCCATAAATACATCAGGGACAAAGCCTCAACAGACAATGTGCTCAGTGAATGTCTCAGACAACAGGGAACGGAGGTTGAGGTGCCAGAGATACCATCATGGGAGGACAAGCCCCTACATGGGATGTACCACCAGCAAATAACCCAAGTGGCTGATATCAGTAAATCCTACCAATGGCTGGAAAAAGCTGGACTCAAGGACAGCACAGAGGCCCTCATCCTGGCCGCCCAGGAACAGGCCCTAAACACCAGAGCAATAGAGGCCCAGATCTACCACACCAGACAAGACCCAAGGTGTAGGTTGTGCAAGGAGGCCCCTGAGACAGTCCAGCACATCACAGCAGGGTGCAAGATACTGGCAGGGAAAGCGTACATGGAGCGACATAACCAAGTGGCAGGCATAGTATACAGAAACATCTGTGCAGAATATGGACTGGAAACCCCAAGATCAAAGTGGGAAACACCCCAAAGGTGGTGGAGAATGCCAGAGCTAAGATCCTGTGGGACTTCCAGATCCAGACAGACAAAATGGTAATGGCGAACCAACCAGACATTGTCGTAGTGGATAAACATCAGAGGAAAGCCGTTGTGGTAGATGTAGCAATACCAAGTGATTGCAACATCAGGAAAAAGGAGCACGAGAAACTGGAGAAATACCAGGGCCTCAGGGAGGAACTGGAGAGGGCCTGGAAGGTGAAGACCACAGTGGTACCTGTGGTCATCGGGGCCCTCGGGGCAGTAACCCCCAAACTGGAGCAGTGGCTACAACAGATCCCAGGAACAACATCAGACATCTCAGTCCAGAAATGTGCAGTCCTTGGCACAGCCAAGATACTGCGCAGAACCCTCAAGCTCCCAGGCCTCTGGTAGAGGACCCGAGCTCAGAGGATAAGAACCACCCGCGGTGGGTGAGAAGGGAATTTTTTTTTTTTTTTTTTTATATATATATATATATTTTTTTTTTATTTTTTATTTATTTTTTTTTTCTTCTTTGACCTCAGCATGTGTTTTGTTTCCATGTTTAGGTGCACATTCAAAATGCCGCCCTGGCCGGAGGAGTCGCAGCAGGAACAGCTGGTGAAATGATGCTCACACCTTTTGGCTCCATGATCGTTGGGTTTTTGGCAGGAATCATCTCTGTCCTTGGCTTTAAGTATCTCTCGGTAAGAATAAATTATGATGTTATGTTTACAAATCAATTCTTATCTTCAAGACACGTGTGAAGGACCTTCTATCAAAGTTTTGAATAAACTTCATTTAAATTTCAAGTTGTTTAAATTCTTATAAGGTTCATTCTACAAATGTCGTTTACTTCCCATCAGCCCATCCTGGAGGAGAAGCTGAAGATCCAGGATACCTGTGGAATCCACAATCTGCACGGCATGCCCGGCATCCTGGGGGCCATTGTTGGGGCTGTCACTGCTGCTGTGGTCCCGAAGGACGTTTATGGAAATGGGTAAACAATTATTTTTTTGCTTTCCCTGATGCAACACTAAATTCAATATTCTTTTTTTTTATTCAATCAGTGCCAGATTAAATTTCTCTTTGACTCTATTTCTTTATTTGAACAATCTGCTAACATGTTTTTTTTTCTGTGTGGTTGTAAGTTTGGCAAAGGTTTTTCCTGATGTGGCAAGTGGAGAAAGAGAGACATCTTATCAGGCCGGCATGCAAGCCATTTCTCTTGTAATCACTCTTGCGATTGCCATTTTTGGAGGACTCATTGTTGGTAAGTAAATGCACAACCAGTGGCTACTAAGCCAGTTCAAGAGTATCCAGTTATAAAAAACTTCAAAGAACCCAAATTATTTGATCATTTTAAGAAGGTACTTCAAGAGGGGAACAAGCTCTTTCTGAATCTGATTTTGTTGATTTGACTTTTTAGGTCTTCAGAAATTCAACATATTAAATGTGAAATTAATGTGCAGAAAGAAATTTGTTGTCAACTAATATATGCTTTATGGGAAACAAATGAAAGTGCAAGTCTGCATTTGTGACTTTAAAAAAAAATCTCAGGATTTCATCACCTGGAGCATATACTTTGTTTGGTACTTGATAGCTAATTTAAAAAAAAAAAAAAAATAGCATACATCAAAACATATTCTGATGAATATGAACTAAAGTGACAAATCTTTCCCTTCCTCTCAGGCTTCATTTTGAAGCTGCCGGTGCTTGGAGCTCCTCGCGACAATGCCTGCTATGAGGACAGCGTCTACTGGGAGGTCAGTGTGATAAAGCAAGACAAACTGTGTGAAATACACAATATATAGAGGAATTTCCATTTGCAAACTTGTGAAGAAGTTTTTACATGACTTTTATTTATTTAGATAAATACCCTTTAATTCTTGGCTAATTTAAATTAAATGTTTATTCTCAGAAAAACTTAGGAATTCTTTAGTCATGATGTCATGCAGTAGGAATTATTGCATAATATTATGCAGTAATTCCTACTGCACGATGATCCATATTAAATATTAATATGGATTTAAGATTTTATTGTGAAATTGCTGACATTCATTGGGATAATAATAAAGTGGTGTGTGTTTTTTGTTGTTTTTTTAAGTTATCTTTATATTTGATCTTTTGTCAACATATCTGTTGCTCCCTATGGCCAAAGCCTAACAAACACAAATTTTGCTTTAATAGTAAAACTTTTCAAATAGGCTACTGGTCACCTGTTATATATAGTGGTGCGATTGCACTGCTAACCGTAAAATTGAACTGCATTGTCATATTTTCAAATTCTTTTATAAAACTTGCATATGAAAGTAACAACCTCAGTCATGGTTTCAGTTTTGGAGTTTTGATAACATCTTCAATAAAGTTAATCTTTGTCTTGATAAATGTGATTTTCTTTCAACACAGTAACGATAAATGATACAATAACTGCCCATCCCTGTTATCCAGCCATTATTCTACAAAGTATGGACACGTTCAGTCAGTTGCAGAAAGACATTTTCAATCACACTTTTTCTTATCAAGCTAAAATATCAAATAATTCAATAAAATCTAACATTATTTATAAGATGAAGGTATTTGATGTGAGAAAAAAAGTGTTAAATTACCTCTGAGTGTTTTCTTTTCTTTTTTTTTTTTAATGTTACAAAGTCTGAGAAACATGTTTTAGATGTTTTGGGTCTGATTATGTATGATATTTGGCCACCAGGGGGAGTAAAATCACCACAGAAGAAGTTCAGAATTCTTGCTGAATTTGGAGACATTTGTTGCTTTGATTTACTATAATTTCATGTCTTTTTATAAATACAGATGTATAAATCAGTATTTTCTAGAAGTAGCTACTTAAATCTCTTCTATAATTTTATTGCCAAAAAAAGAAAACATGTTATTATTTGTTGTTAGTTTTATATGTGTTTGTTCATATTGTGTAGTAAAACATTGTCAATGTAAAAAATAAAAAATAAAAAATAAAATAAAATCAACAGGATGAGAAAAATCTATTTTCAGCTCTTAAGTCTGGAATACTTGCAAACATAAAATAGATGGTGCACATTATTATAAAGCAGGGTGAGAGAACTACTAAGGTACAATTTTCAGTAATTCTAAAGTTTTATGATTTTTTTTGTATTCTCAGGTACCAGGTGAAGAGCACCATGACCAAGAGCTAACTGATGTGAGGATGGAAGAAACTGAGAAGATAAACAGTTAGACACACAGAACCAATCTAAGGTTTTGACGGCACTTGAAAGCCTACAGGCTACAAAATACTCTTTATATTCATGCCAGCTGCCAAACAGTTTTTACATTTGAAACATTATCTGTCTTTAAAGTCAATAGAACAGAAATTAATGAGTAAAACCACTAGAGGTCAATCTAGAGTTGTGTCTGTGAACACGCTGCACTGATAAATGATGTTTTCATTTATTAAAATCTGCTTTGTGATTGTCCATCAAACACAAATTTGAAATAATTGCTTATTTTTACTGTAAGATGAAACCAAAGAGAGACTTAAAAACAGATAAATTCATTTAGCTGAATTATGTTAGTCAAGATTAGATGTTTTTATAGGATTTATTTTAAAGTAACTGTTTTTTTAATTACAGAAAAAGATTTCATGCTGTGAGGTAATGATATTTTACTGTTCATTACATGTGATTACATTAACTTTAGAATCGTATACAATTTTGCCTCATATTAAACCATGCCAGTCTTATTGTTACTTATGTACACTTTCATATTTGTATGGTAATCTCCTAATTGATTTCCAAATTGACTTAAACCTACAGGAAAATTTATGTTTGTGACATTGACTGTATTTATAAGAGCAGACAGACTTTTAAATAAAGTTTTGGGCTAAAAATGAAGTTTTCAATGAGTGTTTTGTGTTATGTGGTATTTATATTCTAGCAAGAATATATCAGAAAACATTGGAAGCTCAGGAATTTTACCCATCAAAAATCATCTTGTTGGGGCTTAACAATAATGTATCCAACTACAAAACCCACAGAAAGAACTTTTGCATTTTGTCCTTGTTTTGAATTGACGATCCGCTTTCACTGGACACCAGGTATAAAACCATCAATGATTTACAAAATACCATTTAAAAAAAATAATAAAATATGGACAAAAAATATTTTCCTGCAGATACCGAACTGTTACAAGATTTTTTCCCCCCAGTTATCATAATGCACCAACTCTCTTTAAAATCCTCAGTTTTCCAGACAATAGTGGACCAAACAAAAACACACTGTACTGCTGTCACCGTGAAACAATCTCCTCTTCAGTTCAACCTTATAAATGATGACACATTGTTGATGTTACCATTATAAAATAACCTGCAACTAAGTTTTGGCAACGATCAAAACTTAATTAATCAGTAATCAGTAATTACTTTACTGGTAGTAAAGTAATTAGTTACTTTTCCAGAGTAACTAAGCCATCATTGGTTACGAAGCAGGACAATGATTCAATACAGTCATGGATGATAAGTAGAGGAAATCCTTTGCCGTCCCCAGGGGCAAATAAAGAAAAGGCAGAAGTTTTAATTTATTGTTTTTTGTTATTTATAATGTCCTGTCCTCTTTGTCACCAGACAATTGTCTAGAATTTGCAACAAGAACTCAATTTTTGAGGAGAATATTCAGCATCAGAAGGGTTAATTAAAAATATGATTTTTTTTTTTTTAAGTCCAGATCTCAACCAGACCTCCTGCAGGATGACATGAAAAAGAAGCAAGCAGATGGGGGATTCAGTAAATCTTAAGGGAGAAGCCATGGCATGAATGGTGAGGCTTGATGCTTTGTTGCCCATATCCATCGATCCTGACGTACTGTATGCCGCCACAAAACAGACAGCTCACCTTCTGCTTGGCTGCTGGTGTAAATGTGTTCCAGAGACCACTAGGTGGTGCTGGTAGAAAAACAACGACAGCCATGCCTCATTGTGAAGCTTTTTGAGAAGCAATTTACATGAACATTTAATGGCAATTAGCACTGGGAATGAGATTACAGCAAATAGGGATTGACAGAGGGAATATTCTTCTCCTAAAAAAAAAGGAAACGTCTTGTTTAAAATGTTACATTCTGGTGACTTGGATACATTTGCTGTTGTTTGTCATTAACAATTTATCTCCTTGCAGTTCTTGTCCCTCTAATCAAGCCATTTGCATATCCTGATGAGCTGCTTGCACCCTGCAGAATTATTCCTCCCTTTTTAGTTTAATAGAGGGCCCCTAGCAGGCTGTAGGAGCCTCGTCTGACCCCCCACCCAGCGTGGTGATGGCGCCACGGCGTGAACAGGCACGGCAGCCTTTTCCCAGGAACTAAAAGACAGGTGGACAGCTGTTTACTGAATAGGCGCTCATACTGAAGAGCTTAATTGAGCTTCATAGGGCTAATTAAAATGCAAAGAAAAATAATCATGATTATGGTAATTATTTCTAGTGTCCAAAATGTCTTCAGGAGATGAGCTTGCTTGGCATCATACCTGCAGAAAAAATAATTAATTTCTGTTGGCAGCAAAAGTATTAAATGCTGCTGTTTCCATAAGCTGAGACAATATTATGGCATTAAATTAAAGCTTTTCTTCAAGTAAAACATAAAAACTGCCCCATATATATTATGTTAAACAATATATATATATATATATATATATATATATATATATATATATATATATATATATATATATATATATATATATATATATATATATATATATATATATATATATATATATGAAAAGTCTTGGAATATTCTCTGAGTAGAGTTTTATGCAAAATCTCACCTTTTTTTTCAGAAAAAAAAAAGGGTGAGCCTCAAGCCTCCAACCTAAGCAACCATGCTGTCATGAGATCACTTTTCAGTTCTCCTTATTACGTTTAAATAAGACAGTATTAGCCTTGACCCCGTCACTGTATTTCCCTGTGTGTGAGCGGGGCACGTGGGAACGGTGTTGATCAGCCCCTGCAGCTACACGGGGTCCGTCCGAAGCAGCTGTAGCCTCCTGTGGCTCAGCCTCCGGCTTGTGTACGATTGTTGTTCTTAATGCTGTTCTGGAGGTGAACATAATAGATTAATAGGCTCCCTCAGGACGACCGGGTCTCCTGTGGGAACCCCTCTGCCCTCTTGCAACCCTGCAGAAGCCATAATAGGCCAACACTAAAACACTGAAATCACTGAGATCTTGTTTCCAGAACATGCCAGACTGTTGTTAGATGTTTATTGTGTCTTTGCATTCAGAACTCATAGCATGGCTTTATGGAGGTACATGTAAATCTATCATCAATTCTGTGATTGCATAATTACTCCTTTGCAGCAAGATTCTCACCATTAATTACACTCAAAGTAGAAACATCAGCACTTTGTGTGAGCATCTGGGAATTCTCACTCAGAGTTAATTTAACTCTTGTTATTTTGATCAGCCCCATCAACTCTCCAATCAACGGTTGTGAGCTCTAAATATTAATCTCTGGAAAAAAAAAAACAACATTAAAACATCATGGATGATATTGTGTGCAGAGGAGAAAGTAGAGGTAAAACAAAAAGTACATTTTGGTTTGTGGTTTTCATTTAGTTCCAGATTATATCCTCACACAAAGTTGTTGTTGTCACATTTCTGAAAGGAGCAGAGACGTGCTGAGAGGTTGTGACTGATGCCAGCTAAGAAGGGGGGATGATGGAGCAGGGGTGTCAGTGGGAGTGCTCACTAAATGCAGGAAGTTGTTCAGCTGAAGAGGGTTTCTGCCACTTGACTGAGGAAAAATTGCCTGCAGTGCTCCAGGAGTACATGGGAGTGCTTCACTTGAATTTCCTCCCCCTGTAAAATGGCTAGCCTTGTGAATGCCAAATCAACAAAGGCGGAGGCTGTGTGCATTTCAGGCCCCACAACTCTCCAATTCTTTCACAGCTCACCTGTGGTCAACAAATCCTGCGTGTGAAAGCAGAGCCCGCCATGACTGGAATCCAGCGTAATCTTTTGCATTCTTCATGAACAGAGGCAATTGCAAATGTGGAGACTCACTGGAAAGAAAATTTTCCATAAATCACAATTTTATGAAGCCCCGGCATCCTGAAGTCAAAGTTGGAAATTATAGTTTTAGACATGGCAACTTTTTATTCTACTCAGACAGCAAATTTCAATGATGCTGTGCATTTTAACTTTGCAAGTTATATTGCAAATTTTATGGAGGTGTTCCAGGAGTCCACATTAGAGAATTAGAGCCACTGAAAAAGAGAAATCTGAATTTTTCTCCGAATCAGAATCAGAATTATTTAAAATGTGTATACACCACCAGAAGAATATGGTCTCAAAACTGAAATCTGCCAAATAAATATGGGACAGGAAAAAGTGCAGGTTTACATATCACATTAGGACAAAAAGGTAGGTGAATTTTTTTTTCATATACTAACAATATAATTTCCAGAATGTTTGGTTGTTGGCTTTTGACATAGATTGACACAGAATTATAATTCTGCTCATAAAGTCAGACTGTTATTTTCTAGTGGCCCTAATCCTCTTTTTTTCTTATGCATAAAAAATAATAACAAAAATACTTAAGAAACGTCTCCAAACAAGACTGAAGTATCTAAATGTAACCTCATAAATTCAAGATACATTTCAGCTTTATCACAAAAAATCTTTTGCCACTTTCTTCTTTGAGGTCATTATTTCACCGCTATAACACACTTTCCCTCATTCTTTCTGAAACAACAGAAACATCAGGCCTTTAATTTAACTTTAGATGACTAAGAAAGCCTAAATTTAACACCCTTAGACAGAACAAAGCAGCATTCACAATTTGGAAGATCAAAAGCATCAAATTCATCCACTGGTTGAAGGACCATTGTGACATGGAAGGATCACATTTAAGGCAGAATAGGGCGGCCTCTAATCCCAGAGTTCCTGCGAGGTCTCCTGGCGGAGCACCCCGCACACTAACAAGGCCTCCCACTGGACTCATTACAAGAGGAAAAACCAACAAAGGCAGTTATTACACACTCCTTATGAAAGACATCAGGGGCAACGGGGCCAAGCTGGACACTGGGGGAACAAAGAGCGCTGACGACCCTACCGCCACCACCTTCACGCATCCCCCATCACCCCAACTGCCCCTGCTTCCAACACACGCATGTCTCCGAGCTGCAGGCCTTGCAGAGGGGGCTGCAGAGGTTGGGAGAGGTCCGGGGCTTTGTGCCCTGTTAATTGAGGCACCCGATTGAGGAAACATGGGGCCACACCAGGGGGGCCTTAGAGGAGATTGAGTCAATGCTGTGAAAGAAGGGGAGCAGTCATGAAGTCACAGTATGTACTTGCATACATGTTCCTATTGAATCCATCAAGTCCAATCAAGTTTATTTGTACAGCGCATTTCAGCAACAAGCCATTTCAAAGTGCTTTACATCAAGAACAAAGAAAAACATCATATAGTGAGCAACTATAGCAAAATATGTTGATTGGTGTTCCATTTATTATGGTCCAAAAACTATTCTAATCTGGTGGGAGTTGGGAATCTCAAGTTTAATTGAAGAGAAGAAAAATTGTGTGTTGCAGGTACAGCAAACCAAGTAAACAGCAGATTTTTAACACTCATCTCACTTTTTAATGCCCTCAAGATCTTTCTCTCTGAGTGAGAAAAACATCCCAATGCTCATAGTTGGAGATTTCCAGCAAAGAGTTTTGAGTTACTAACATCCCAGATAGTATGTTATGGTTTGTTGAAGCAAATTAAGAAAAAGCCAATGATGGGACATTCCAGGTGATGTCCCAACATCAATTATTGTAGTAACTTTAAAACCATTTGCTTTGGTCAGATTATGCTAAAATTTCAGGACAAAGATAAACTACATGATAAAGAAATTTTAGC